TACACATGCTATATAATGAATAAAGGGAATTTTTAAAAATTGAACTTTATTTTATGTACTTACTTACTTTAATTTTACCAAAAGGGACAGAGTTGGCGGGGGGCGAGTGAGAAAACAAGCCACCAGGTCCGAGATCAGATTTTTTAAAATTTTGGAATATTTGCATATTCATAATGAGATATTTTAGGGATGGAACCCCAAGTCTTTTTTTGTTTTTTTTCTGGAGAGGTTTTTGCCATAGGGTGTGTGTGCTTGCCAAAAAGACAGAGAGACAGAGAGACAGAAAGTGAGAAATCAGTCTCCGGGGTGATGGCCATGCCACAATCCCTTCTCCTCCATTCTCCTCTTGGGATCTTGGGCACACATGCACATGGGAGTGGCATGAGTTTAAGCCACTGAGTCTGGGACTCAAACTGCGGTCTACTATAGGGGAGTCCAGGAACATAGCCATTATGTTATCTGCTGACCCCAGGGAATTTTTTTAAAAAGAAGAAGAAAAAAGAAACAGAGTCTCTGAGATCCTTTCTGGGGGAATTTTTGGAGTCAAAACTACTTTCATAATAGTCCTTAGAGATTGTTTGCCTTTTTAACCTTACTGTCTCTTGAATGCAGTTTTTCCAGAGGCTATGTGATATGTGACATTGCAACAGATTAAATGCAGAAATAAATATGAGAATTGCTACCATCTATTAAACCAGGTTGAAGAGATTTGGCAAAGTGTAAAATAACCACTCCTCTCAACATATATTTTTTGTTGTTTGGAAAACACTATTTTTCATAAAAATAAGCTATTTATATTCACATATAATAAGATTTGTATTAATTTAAATGAGTTAGTAATTTTTTTTTTTTTAGGTTTTTGCCATAGGAGAGAGACAGAGAGGGAGAGGGAAGGTCAAAAAATCATCCCCCAGGTGGGATGGCCATGCCACAATCCCTTCTCCTCCATTGGGATTTTGGGTACCCAAGCACATACACCTGGTATAATATTCAAGTCATCAGGTCTGGGACTCGAACCATGCTTAGCCTTGTGGGAATCAAGCACTTTAACCACCATGCCACCTGCTGGTCCAATAATCATATTTTTAAATATGCAAAGAAATGAGCTGTCCAGCAGATTGCATAATGGTTACATCACTGGACTCCCACATAGTTGACTGTGGTTCGAGTCTCAGACCTGGTGGCTTGAAACTCACGTTGGATGTTTGTGCATGCATGCCCGGAATCCCAAGGGGAGAATGGAGGAGAAGGGATTGCAATGTGATCTTCTCCCCAGGAGGGGTCATTTCTCGCTTTCTGTCTCTCTGTCTTTTTCTGTTTCTCCAGGAAGCAAACGTGCCCTATAGCAAAAATCTCACTTTAAAAAATTTTTTAAAAAGAAATGAGCTGTCCTTTAATGCAATAGCAAATAAAGAAGATCTGGGGACCAGCAGATGGCATAATTGTTACGTCACTGGACTCCCACATGGTCGACCCTGGTTTGAGTCCCAGATTGGTGGCTTGCAATATGTTGGAAGTGTGTGTATGTGTGCCCAATATCCCAAGAGGAGAATGGAGGAGAAAGGATTGCAGCATGGACATTCCTCCTGGGGAAAAGGGTGATTTCTCACTTTCTGTCTCTCTGTCTTTCTCTGTCTTTCTGGGGAGTACATGTGCTCTACAGCAAAAGTCTCTCTAAAAAATTAAAAGATTTATGGACCAGCAGTTGGGGTAATGGCTAAGTTGCTGAACTCCCATGTAGTTGACTGCAGTTCGAGTCCCGGACTCGGTGGCTTAACTTCACGCCGGGCGCGTAGGGTGCGTGCCCAAGCCCGAGAGGAGAATGGAGAAGGGAATGCAGTGTGGCCACCCCCACTGGGGGATGATTTCTCGCTTTCTGTTTCTCTGTCTCTCTCTGTCTTTCTGGCAAGTGCACGCACCCTATAGCAAAAACATCTAAAAAAAAAAAAAAAAAGAAGAAGAAAGAAAGAAAAGATTTAAGCTTTTATGAGTTTAGCCCCTGCCCTTGTCTGGGTAGTGAAAGGACTATAGCAAAAATTGTCCCAGCCTAGATTCAAAATATTTGTCCAGTGGCCTCTAGATCCAGACCAGGAACAAAACTATACCTTCCAGAAAATTTGGTAATTTAGAAAATTGATTTTCATTCACTTATCATAGAGTAGTTTCTCAGAAGGAAGTAATCCCAAAGAAAAAGAATCCCAGAGGAAATGGAGAAAGGCAGAATACCTTCTCTTTGTGAGATTGTTGTGAGGATTAAATGAAATAATATCCTTAAATCACTTGAGCCTGATGATGTTGCAAATAGTTGGTTCTCATTACAATTGAGTTTACTGGGATGGAACTAGAGTCCTCTGACATGGAGCAGGGGCCCCAGTGCAGCTAGACACACAGAGCAGAGATCAAAAGGCCCCAGACCTGGGTTAAAGCTGTGGCTCCACCCCTTCAGGAGCAATTTCCATTCAACTGACTCTGAATTGAATGACCATGAAAAACACTTTGTAATCAGTAAAATTAAAGCAGAGATAAACATTAGTATTCCTACTACATTCACTAAACCTATATATAGGACCAGCAGTGGGGGATAGTACAACCATGGCAAACAGGTTTGGAGCTTTGGGAAAGCCAGTCATAGGCCTATAGATCTTCATATTCAAAGAGCAGAACCAGGCTAGCCCCATGGCCTGGTGATTAATGAAGCTGGATTCCACATAGACAACCATGTGGTTTGAATTCCAGCCCTAGCGTGCATGTGTGTGTGTGCACCCAAAATTTCAACAGGATAGAGAAATAGAGATAAGATTGTAGCATGACAATGCCCCACTTGGGGTGGGGGTGCTTTCTTCCTCTCTGTCTCTATGTCTCTCTCTGGCAAAGGCATGCACCTCCTGGCAAATTTAAAAAAAAAAAAAAAAGTAAAATGAAGTCTAGCACTAAAGGGCAGGATCCACTGAAGCAGTGTTTTCAAGCAGGCCCAAAAGTTTTCAGTCTTCTGTGACTTTTCTTCCTAAGCTGGCCCTGGGCTTTATGATTCTCTTTCATGCCATCTCTTCTATTTTTAAGTTATTTTTCAAAATCAAATGTTTTATTTCAACTTTATTTATTTAAATTTGACCAGAGAGGGAGAGAGAGAGAGAGAGAGAGAGAGAGCGAGCCATCAGGTCCATGGCTCAAACCACAGTTGGCCATGTGGGATTCCAGTGCTCTTAACCACCATGCCATCTGCTGGCCCCCCTTTGATGCATCTTTGATGCCCAACACTGTACCCTCTCTGTCTCATCTCTGTGCATTATCTCCATCAAAAAATGTAAACAGGAATTCCAATGGGCTAATTCAGTCACAGAGGTACTGTTTCCTAGAGATTATTTTCCAGTAATGGTGATGGCTCTGAAAGAATTAAAGTGTTCTTTGGTCAAAGTTAAATAGGTATTTTTGCAAGACCCATAAGAGCTTTCAATATGCTACTAAAACTGTGAATCTCAGAGGAAAAAAATGCAGTATGTAATGTTCCTCAAGTTTTTTGATCATGGAACTCTTTTTCTAGGACTACCCTCCAGAATTAGCTTACCATAAAATGTATTTTGGGAAATATTGTACTAAGCTTACTGTTTTATTCCTCCTATTAATTGCTAAATAGATGAATACATTTTGTTTTGTTTTGTTTTAGAGAGAGAATTTTGCTATGGGCATGTGCGCTTACCAGAGAGACAAAGACAGACAGAAGGCAAATCACCCCCTAGTGGGGGATGGCCATGCCACAGTCCCTTCTTCATTTTCCTCTTGAGATTTTGGGCATGCACGCACATGCACCCAGCATGAGTTTTAAGTTCAGGACTCAAACCGCAGTCAACTACATGAGAGTCCAGTTATGTAACCACCGTTATGCCATCTGCTGGTCCCTGAACAAGATTTTTTTTTTTTTGAGAGGTTTTTGCTATAGGGCGCGTGTGCTCACCAGACACACAGAGAGAGACAGAGAGACAGAAAGCAAGAAATCACCTCCCAGGGGGATGGTCACACCACAATCCCTTCTCCTTCTGTTCTCCTCTTGGGATCTTGGGCCTGCATGCACATGCGCCTGGCGTGAGTTTTAAGCCACCGGGTCTGGGACGCGAACCGTGGTTGACTACATGGGAGGCCAGCGACATAGCCATTATGCTAACTGCTGGTCCCAACAAGATTTTTTAAAAAACTTTATTTATTTTAATTTGACCAGAGAGGGACAGAATGACCAAGCGAGAGGGAGAGAGAGAGATGGAGAGGGAAAGTGAGAAAGCAAGCAGACAGGTCGGGACTCAAACCACAGTTGGCCATGTGGGAATCCAGCACTTTTATGGCCCCTGAACAAGATTTTTTTAAGAGCATTGCCTTTTTATTTTTTGAGAGATAGTTTTGCTATAGGACATGTGCACTCACTAAACAGATAGAGACAGAGAGACAGAAAGTGAGAAATCAGCCCCCAGGAGGGATGGCCACACTGCAATCCCTTCTCCTCCACTCTCCTCTTGGGATCTTGGGCATACATACACATATGCCTGGCCTGAGTTTTAAATTGCCCGGTCCAGGACTCGAACCAAAGTCGACTATGTGGGAGTCCAGCAATGTAACCATTATGCCATTTGCTGGTCCCCTATTGTGTGCTTATTAACTGGTAGATTTCATTTGAAAATTTAGCCCTACCAATAGTACACAAGAACTGGAGAGGTGACCACCTAGATCCAATCCCTTAATCTGACATATGATGATATAAGAGAACTTGGATAACTTGCCTAAGGTTGTATGGCTAGGATTTAAACCTACATCTGCTAACTCCAGATCCCTACCCCTTTCTTTTCTAGGATTTAAACCTACATCTGCTAACTCCAGCTCCCTATCTCTTTCTTTGTAACCTTTTTAAAAATAATTATTTTATTTAACTTTATTTATTTATTTTTTAATTTGACCAGAGAGGGACAGAGTAAGAAAAAGAGAGAGAAAGTGAGAAAACAAGCCTAGATCCCTACCTCTTAAAGATGCCACAAAGGCTTGTGATTTGAAGCTCTTATCAGCTAATTTAATGTAGTGTGACAGGAATGCTAAATTGAGTTGTTCCGATGATTATGGTTTGTCTCTGTCATCCTTTCCCATTACAATGAACTTTCAATTCTTTTGATACATAATATTTTGATTGTATTGTGTAAGGTTTGACACAAATGGGAATACTGAATTTGGAGATTCTTTTGAGAACCTTAGTATAAGAAAAAATCTTAAATCAGTCCCTTCATAGTTGGATGTACAATATTTCTAAGTCCACACTCCCAAATATAGAGAACCATATTTCTTCTTCCATAGCAGTCAAGAGGTGTGAGTGAGATGCTGAGTGCTTGGGGGTGACGGAAGGACTTGAGGGCACTTGGCCTGGTTAAGAGTAATAGGAGTATTGCCAGGAGTTATTAATGGCTGGCTGCTGAGTCTGCTCAATAGGACTGACTGGTGGGAGATTTTCTGAGCCCGAAGCAGGTGGCGAACCCGCCGCTGCTGTTGCAGCCAGTAGAGCATCTCCACTTTGTCATGCTTCATCTTGTCCAGGTAACGCCTCCCTTTGAAAGTCACTGGCTCACCAAAGATGAACTCTATCTCCTCTAAGAGGGAAACCAAAGAAGATTCCACTAGGTTGATCTTTCTGTGGAGATGACTACGGATCTGATTCTCCTCCAGGAAGCAACTCTGGTTCAAGTCAGTCTTTTGAAAGAAGCGGTTGGGATCAGAGGCTTGTCGCTCAAACCACTCCAATCGCCCCAGCAATATCTCCCGCAGCTGAATGGGCTTCAGGGCCCGTTCCCAGGCACTAACCAATGAAGGTAGCTGTCCCAGACGAGCATTGGAGCTGTACTTGATGGCCATGTCTAGCCGGTCCTTGTGAGGAACCTCAAGCATGGACCAGAGTTGTTCCAGTCGCTTCTGTAGATTTAGGATTTTGTGGGGTTCTCCCAGGAGGTGGGTCTTCTCAGCTCCTACTCTGTGCTCTAGTACTGTGTTCCAATCCCACTTTCCTGGCATAAAGTCTGGTTCTTCATCTTCTAGTAAGGGAGGAGGGTGCAGAATCTGTAGGGACTCATTGACAGGAGCCACTATTTCCACAGGAACCTCTTCTTCATACATTTGGAAGATGACGTGGAGAAAATCTGTCTCCTGGTTGGTGAGGTACTTGAAATAGTCATCTATGGACAAGGTGGTTTTCCACCAGTTCATCCATGAGGCCTTGTTTGATCGCCTATCCCAATTTTTGCTTGCTTGGGGTGAGGTAAAGGAGGGCATCCTTTCTGATTGTAAAGTATTTCCTCTCTGGGAGTAAAGCCCAGCTAGCTCAGGGTTAATGATTCGAGACTGTTTTTCTTGACGTAGAAAGGCTGAGGACAAGAAGGCTGACCAGTCTTTATCTGCTGCAGGCTCAACCAGGGGTCCTTGGTCAAACCGGAAATGGTCAGTAGAGACACGGCTCATCAACTCCTTGTAGACCTCCTTGGTGCTACTGCCAACAAAACGATCAACATCCATTTCTTCTATGGTGTTGGGGTCCAGTTCACCAGTCAGGTGGTTGTACAGAACACCAGCCCCCTCAACATGGAAGGAGTCCAAAAAGTTTCTGTCAGAGACTTGTACAGCTGCTGCCTGGATCACTACTTTATTTCTTAACTTCAAAGTAATGGTCACTGGCTGTGGCAGAAGTGAAAGGGATTTAGGGGGCTGGGGGTTCCATTGCCCAGAGGCTTCTTCCTCCTGGAGGCGCTTCAATATCCTCTGCAGCTCCTCCATGCGGTGCCCTGCAGCCGGTCGGCGGGTCACCACCCCCAGGAGCGGGGGCAGGCCTGAGTCCAGTGATGGGTATCGAGTCCACTCCAGTTTCATTTTCCTCATCATCTGCTTCAGATCCTCAGCTACGACATCCCCACCCAGTTCTGGTTTACTCTCTGCAGTCAAGACCAATGGAGTTAAGGGGCGAGGTGGAAGTGGAGGAAGGCCCAATTCATCAGCCAGTTTCCAGCCCTCACGCAAAGAGGGCATAGATTGGCTGCTGCGGAGTTGGGAGGAGAGTTGCATGGAGGGGAGAGCCCCATCTGTGGTAGTCACGGAGTAAGTGGGCTGTGACTCAATCTGTGAGGAACTAAGGTCGATTTCTCTCTCCTTTCTTACAGAGGGCAGCCAGCGGAGACGCTTTCTCCTCCTCAGCCGGGGGATGGATTTCAATTCCTTCACTGGATCCAGTCCCTGCTCACTGATAAACTCTGACGGGCGGCTGAGTTGGATGAGGTAGTTCAAGTTGAGGCTGGAGCATGGCACTTGGGCAAAGCCGGTGCTGTGAGGCCAGGGGATTGGGCAGAGCTTGAAAGTTCCAATGGGAACTACAGGGCGAAACTTGTCCACGACACCGTGGGCCTCCTCTATCTTCAGCAGAGCCCGGAAGTCAGCAAGCAGGTGACGGTAAACATCTGGACTGGTGAGAAAGGAGTACAATCTCTAGCGAGGCTAGCGGCCAACCGGGTGAGAGTGGCTGACTCAGTGAAGACCCCTTTGGTGGTCGACATGGTCACCAGCAGATGCAGGTAACGTAAGAAGAGCTGCTCACTGCTGAGCAGCACGTGGGCCTCAAGCCGCTTCCGCAGCTTCTGGTTGTTCCTGTAACTTAGACTAGGTTCAGCGGAAGGCTCCCGCCAGCTGCACTTAAGCTCGTTCAGGATAACCTCGGTGAGACAGAGACGATCCTTGGGAGACACCCGCGCCGTGAGCCCACTGCGGGCAAGCAGCTCGGTCACCTGGCGGCAGAGCGACGCCACAGTCAGCTTCGCGAGCGGCAGGGACTGCAGTATTGGCCCCGCCTGCTGGCCGTGCTTCTGAGGGGGCGACACTCTGCGGGGGAAAATGGACAACGGACGCAGCAACCCATGGTAAAATCGCTGATGATCAGGCTCCGGCTTTCGAGAACCCATCTTGGCGCAGGACGCGCCTGCTGTTTAAGTAAGGAAGGTAAAATGGTTACTAAGACAACCAACTCTCCACCCACCCGCACCCAGCTGCTCGAGTGCGCCTGCGCGGTCTGTGCCGGCCAACGGGCGGAAGTTGGGGCAGCGCTTTGGGTGCGCATGCGCTAGGAGCTGGGGCAAAGTGTAGCTCCTGAGACTCCGCCCCTCGCAACGCTCTGTGGATTGGCCCCTTCTGGACCCACTGGGTTACTGTAAGGGATGGCTTCGGACTCGGAAGACCGCAAGACTCTCTGCACGGTGAGGGTTGAAGCTTCTTGTGGCGGCTCCCTCCCTAGGGTGATAGTTATCTTGGGAAGACGGGAAGGAGCAAGCACTCAAGTGGGCTGGACTGGAGTTTGAGGGTAGCAGGGCTCCTGGCGTTAATGTTGCCGGGTGAGACCGTGGTTCTGGAATAATCCTTAGTGATAACAAAGAAAGAACTTTAAGTGGGGTCACGCGTCCCTAGATATTTGGGGTGGTAATAGAGAAGGTGGTGAAACAGGGTCACGCTAGATACATCCCCAGCTCTCATCCGCCGGTCCTTGCAGCTGGAGTTTGCGGTGCAGATGACTTGTCAGAGCTGTGTGGAGGCGGTGCGCAAGTCCCTGCAAGGGGTGGCAGGTAAGAGCCGATAAACTTCTATGGAGAGTCTGGAGGCCTCTGGGAGGGACCAGATAAATCCCTTAAATTAGCACTACCCCCATCTTACAGGTACAAAAAGTGAAACCCAGAGAGTGGAAGGAATGTTAGTTACAGAGATGCAGAGGCAGAGCCTAGAGTGCAAGCCTCAAGCTTGCCCTGCGGTAGTTCT